GGGATTTTCCAAAAACTTCATGTCTATAAATTCAATCTTATATCAAAATCTTCAAAATCACTTCATAACATTTCCAACTTTGGGAATAGTTGTTCCTTCCTTCTGTCATCAAATGGCGCCCCATTCCAATTTTAACCATTTTTCTCCGATTTTAAAAATAGCAATCCAAAATAATAAGATAATATTCATTTTTAAACTATATGATTCCATTATTTTAAAATGCCTTTTCAATACAGTGTCTGTCCATTTTAAAGGTCCAATTTTCCATGTTTTCCAGACTTCTTGCCTTCTCCCTTTTTTTTCAATTTTAAATTTTTTAAAAATTCTCCAAATGCTTTTGCCACCACTTTAAAAATAACAGTTCCTTTTTAGATAGTCTTTTGAAGTTAAATTTTAGATAAAGAAGATTCTTCTCATCCTGCTCCAGGTACCATTCACTATCTCCATTCCTGCTTTAGATGGTCATGACTATCACAACTTTGTGGCAGCCATTTTGTCCAACCCCTTCTCCAAGTCGTAGCATAGAAGAAAAAAGCTCTGGATTTCCAGGGGAGAGTTGTGTTCTCTCCTGGAACCACATGGAACACCCCTCCTTGGCTTCATTGCCCCACCCAGGGCAGTTTTCAGCTCCCTCCAGAGCCCACAAACAGCAAGAAGCCAGAGCAGGAATGGATAACTCTGTTCTCTGCTTCTGGCTCAACATCAGCCAGAAGTCTCACTGGGATTATGGGTCATCTTACTTGTTTGCTGCCAAGTAGTCACTTGTGCTGACAACTGGTTCATGGGAATAATTCAGTTGACCACTCTTGAGCACTTTTATACTGGGGCATGCAGGACAGCATGTTGGCTAGGAAGTTCTTTCCCCCCGGGATATATTTCAATGTGAATTCAAACCGATTGAAGTATTGAGTCCCACCATACATGCTTTGGGGAAAATTTGTGGGGAATTTTAAGGCCTCTAAATTTTTGTGGTCAGCCCATACTTTGAAACGGATTTTGCTGCCCTCTAAAAACTGCCTCCATATTAGCAGTGTCCATTGCACCATAAAGGTTTCTTTTTCCCACACTGTTCAATGTCTCTCTGTCTCGTTCAACTTTCAGGACATGTAGGCACATGGTTGCAGTTCCCCCTCATTCTTTTGGAGGGGAACTGCCCCCACTGCCACATGACTGCCATCCATTTGGATCACAAATGGCTCCTCAGGATTGGGATGCTTTAGGACTGGCTTGACCGCAAATAGTCTCTTTAGTTTCTCAAGGTCTTCTTGACATTCCATTGTCCAGTTTAGCGTCTGGATGGGCTAAGGCTTCTCTCCCCCCCCCCATTTTTAGCAGTTTTGTGATAGGTAAGGCAATCTTTATGAAGGAGAGTATGAATTGCCTGTAGAAGTTTGTGAAGACTAGGAAGCTTGCAACTGTTTTCAGGTGCATGGTGCTTGCCATTCTAGGATGGCTTTCATTTCCCTGGGTCCATCTCCACCGCTTCACAAGATACTCTATAATCTAAGTAGTTTAGACTAGTCACATTTTGACAGCTTGGCATACAGCTTAGCGTTCAGGAGTTTGTCCAGCACTTTACATACTAGTTTCACGTGTTCCTCCATCATCTCGGAATAGATGAGAATGTCATCTAAATATACCAGTACCTCTTTGTATAGGAGCTTATGTAGCACTTCATTTATCAGCTGCGTGACTATGGCTGGGGCTCTCTGTAATTCAAAGGGCATCACTCTAAATTGATAGCATCTTAATGGGCAGTTGAAGATGGTTTTCCATTTGACCTTTTTTGATTTGGTAATAAGCCTCCATGAGGTCCAGTTTAGTGAACACTTTTTCTTTGGCCAAATGTCCCAACCTGTCTTTCATGAGGAAGAGTGGGTACATCTCCTCTATACATACAACAATAAAATCTACACATAATCTCAATTACCCATCTTTTTTCTCCTTGAATAATATGGGGGCTGCCACTTGGGATTTTCCAGCCTGAATGAAGTCCCTCACCAAGTTTTTATCAATGTAGTTTCTCAATTCCCCCATCTCCTTTGGGGTCATTGAGTATATTTTGGCTTTTGAGAGTTTCACCCAGCAAGATTTTGATGGCACAATCCATGGGTCAATGGGGTAGGACATCACATTTTTTTCACTGAATGCCTCCACTAGGTACCAGTATTTGTGGGGAATGGGTTGCCCTTTGAGCACCAACTCAGAGGCGACTTTTGTGCATTCTCCCTCTTTCTTCTCTCTGCTGGCTGGGCCTGCCCAGGTTTCTTTTCAGGGGTTTCTTGGCCTTTTCTGTTATGGCCACATGTCTCTCTCCCCTTCCCCAATGCACAATGGGTCCTCACTTGGTGAGCCAAAGTAACCCCAGGATCATCGTTTCTGCCATCTTTGGGGCTATCATGAACTGGATGGTCTCTTGATGAGTTTCTAACTTAAGGTGTACCAGTTCTGTTAAGTAGGAGGCAGGCAAGCCTCCCACAATGGAGCCATCAATCTGTTCAAATCTTATGGGTTGGCATAGTTTCCTCAGTCACATTCCCAATTTTCAGGCTATCTGCAGACTGACTAAGCATTAGGTGTACCCTGAGTCTATTAGAGATTTTATGACCCATATACCCCCAAACAGGGTACAACAAGGGGATCATCCTCAGTCAGAGTTCCCTCCCCTTCATTGCTCGAGGGTGTGTGTGAGAACTCTATGACTTCACGTGCCACTCACATTTTCTCCTTCCCCTGTTTGGTTGGCTTCCTTGGCTTTGTTGGGCTCATAGCCCTTGAGGTTGAGATGAGTGCTGGTGCTGGGCAGGCTGCAGCTCAGTGGCCCTCTTGGTTGCATTGGAAGCATAGGCTGGGTCCATGCTTCGGGGCTTTGGAGGGAGCAGAGGCTCTCATAATAGGATTTCTCCAGCCCAGCAGGTGCTTCTCTTAGCTCCTCTTTGGGCAGTTCCACACTCTTCCATTCCATTTGTAACCCACTAGGTCCAGCTCTGTTTCTACCATTTGGTATCAGTCATGCATCCATTCATGTGTTCCCCAAAGCAGGCAGATGTGATACAACTCTCATTTCAGGGCATCTTGGAAGTAGTGGACCAGAAGCTGCTCTGGCCAGTGCCTCAGTTTCCCCACTAGCCTCCAGAATTCACAAATGTATTCAGCTGCTGTCTATTCCCGTGCCTGATGGTGTGGACATTGTCAATTTTAATTTTGGGAGATCTGGTTTAATGTCAACATTCTGACTGACAAACCCAACCAAAGCAAGCACAGCTGAGATCCAATCTCTTAAAGCAAAACTTTATTGAGTATCTCATATTGGCAAAGATGAAGGCAAAACCAGATCTAACTATTTCCCACGCAAACCCATATAGTTAAAGTTAGAATAGAATTCTTTATTGGCCAAGTGTGATTGGACACACAAGGAATTTGTCTTTGGTGCATATGCTCTCAGTGTACATAAAGGAAAAAAATACATTCACCAAGAATCATAAGATACAACACTTAGTGATAGTCATAGGTTACTAATAAGCAATCAAATCATACTAGGAAACAAATAAAACAATATAAATTGTAAAGATACAAGCAACACGGTTATAATCATAGTGGGAAGAGATAGGTACTAGGAAGGATGAGAGGAATAATAGTAATACAGTCTTAGTAAATAAGTAAATAAGTATTGAGGGAATTATTTGTTTAGCAGAATGATGGCATTCAGAGAAAAACTATCCTTGTTCTGGTGTGCAGTGCCCTATAGCGTCGTTTTGAAGTTCAGGTCTTTCCTCCCACCTATTAGGCCAGGTCACATTGTCCAATGGAGACTTCTGGTATTGTCGTGAGAAAGTCTTTTTGGCTCTGGTAAACACCTGCTGAAATGTCCTTGGTTCCCATGGCTGGCATCTTGATGTCTGGAGCTTAGTTCTATCTACACCTTCCCTCTCCCCATAGTTCATTGGCAAGCTGAGAAGTGATAATAGTTGCAACAGCAAAAAATCCATTTGAAACTTGACAGCTTAATCTCATTTAAGTTCATTTTGATGGGCCTCTTGAAGGAGATGTTTCTCTTGAACTGAACTAGAGTACAGGTGAACACTGTCCAGACAAATTTATTTATAAGTATCAGTCAATTTGAGTCTGCCTATAATATAATCTCCTATTTATGTATCAATCATTAAATAGAAGGAACATGCAAATAGTAAGTAGTGATTGAGTATCTGATGACCCTTGTTATTTGTCATTGGTATCTAAAATATAACCAAATGAAGAGGGCAGAGATTTTTGAACCAAGGTTCCTTCCTTCCTTCCTTCCTTCCTTCCTTCCTTCCTTCCTTCCTTC